GGGCCCCCCGGTCATCATGGCGGGCACCCCCAGGGTGTATTTCGAAATGGGGCCCTTCGCGATCAGGTCTTCCACGGGACCCCCCACCTCCGAAATGGTCCGGCGGATGGACTTGAACTTGTACAGCGGGATTCTGTCGAGAGAGCGGTCAGGGCTTGCTAGGGGGGGCTGGCCTCCACCTCCCACCTGGACCACTCCCACACCCCACGTCCAAGATAAGGAGGAGTGTGCCCGCTCCTCCCCCGCCCCAGCCACCAGGGGCTCAGAAAGACCCCTCCCCCATGGTCTGGGGCACCACTCTGGTCTCTTCTGTGACAGTGGCGGGTGGGGTCTGTTAGGGCACTGAGTGTCACCTGTCACTCCTGCCCAAAGTCCTCCGAGCCGTCCCATTCACCTGGCCCTCTGGCCACATCTGTTGCTCTCACCGAGACCCCACGAAGAGAGTCCTCAGCTCCCTGGGTGCCTGCCTCTTGGCCATCAGATGGGACTTCAATGCCACCCCCTCTGAGCAGCCCTCCCTGACCACCCCCACTTGCCCTTCACACGACCTGTCTTCCTTCCGGTGCCCTCCCAGTGCCCTCGCCCCCGCCACCATGAACTGTGTCACTTCCTGCTTACCTGTCCTTCCTTTCCCATCCCACACAGACCCCGGGGGACATGGACTGCACCCAGAGTGTGGGGTTCTGCTTCCAGGCCTGCCCGCCTCCAGCACATATGCCCAGCTGGGGCGGCCTTGGTGCTCTGACCCAGCAGGAGAGAGCAGGGGGCTGAGGTCAGGGGTGCTGGTCCTGTCGTGGACAGGGTGCCACCATCAGAAAGCGGCCTGAGGGAGGGGTCCCCTGTGTCTGAGCTTGCTCCCTGCTCCCACGGTCCAGGAGGTGAGACAGGAGAGCACACCTGGGCAAACTCAACCACTTGGATGAAATGTCTTTCCAGCCCTGGGGATCTGAGAGTTCAAGGTCACGGCTGGCTTTTCCAGGCAAGCCAAGGGCATGCTCCAGGAAGACAGGACTCTTGCCTAAGAGCTGGTAGGCTAGAGACCCTGACCCTGAGATCAGGTTGTTCCCAGGAGAGGGACACACCCTCCAGTAACCAAGGAAACAGGTGCCATCATTCCCATATGAGCCCAGAGGAGGGGTGAGGGGCCCTGCTCAGTGCCCCACCCAAAAAGTCCCAGGTCCCTTCCCCACTGCCATGTTTCCCTGGAGGAAAGCCTGTGTGTGGGGCCGGGGCAGGCTCAGGCATACAGCTGTTCCCCACATGGCTCCAGGGGGCACTATTGGCCCCCAAGCCACTGCCCACAGTGAGACCCACACAGGACAGCCCTTTGGCAGGACTCAGTCTCACTTGGACAGCAGCCATCTCCTGCAGCCCTATGACCTCACCCACCTGCCCATGGGCAAAAGGCCCACAGCAGAGGTGGAAGAACGCCTGCTCAGGGCTGGCACAAAGGCCCTGGGGCCAGGGTGGGGGCAGGGACAAAAGGAGGTGGGCCCACTGCTGGGAGAACAGGCTGCCATGCAAGGTGGGAGGGTGGAGGTGGAGGCGCCAATCATCAGCCCAGCTGGCACAGCCCTGGTCCAGGCCTGGCAGTCAGTGGCCTCATCTGGCACAGGGGGACAGGCTCCTGGGCCTGAGGAGGGTGTGGTCCTCACTGGGGCGGGTAGCGTGGGTGGTGAGGCAGCCCAGGGCCTGGTGTCCCCCTCTTAGGCTAACTCCCACCTCTCTCGCAGACTTGCGGGCCTCCCAGGGACCGGGGTTCTCCTGGGGGAGGGCCCGTGGTAAGATCCCATGGGACAAACCAGGCGAGTCCCCGCCCAGCTCACAGCTGGTACAGAGGTGCCCCAAGCGAGAAAATGACTTGCATAGGTTCAGGGGGCCCCGGAGCCTACAGCAGCGTCTCCCGACTTCCACTCGTTGGCCCTAAGTGCAGGCACCCCACCCTACACGTCCCGGGGAGGCTGGGTCAGCCCGACTCAGCCATCCTCCCTCCTACCTTCTCCTGTCCCCTCAAGGCCGACCCCACGGCGGTAGAGAGTGGGGGGCTCCCGGGGGCCTTGGGCGAGCCTTGCACCTGCAGAGCTCCCCCGCCCCGCCCGACAGCGGGCCTTGCAGGCTGCGCGCGGGGCGGCGACGGCGTTCCAGCGACGGGGGAGCACGGGGGCGCGGGGCGCACCGGGTTGCACGGGGTCCCCGGGGCGCCGGATGGCTGGCCTCACCTGACGAGCGCGGCGGCGGGCGCGGCCAGCAGGCCGAGGACGAGCAGCAACAGGCTGGGGGGCTGCATGGCGGCGGCGGCGGCGGCGGCCCGGTCACAGCGGAGCGCCCGGGAGGTCGCGCTTATAGCTGGGATGACGGCGCAGTCAGGCCGGGTCAGCTGACACGCTTGTTTGCAACCCGGTGGCTCACGTGGGCCCCGGCGCCGTGCGCGGGGGCGGGGTCTGGGCGGGGCCACGATGACCGCGCCCCGCTCGGGCCCGCGCACGGCGCTCGGGGGCGCGCCGATCGTCCTCACGGGGCGGGAACCCGCCCGGGACGCGAGAAGGGCGGGTTCCGACGTGGGGCTGCGTGTGCAGCGCGGGCGGTCACCCAGCCTGAGCCGAAGGGGACCGGGACCAGGGCCCTCTGGACGCCCCCAGCCGGGCGCTCCCCCGGGAGCCGCGGCTCCTTCCCCTTCCAGGTGCGCGGGGTGCCCTTTGCAGTGCTCCCTGCGCCGTCCTCCAGCCATCGCACCTGTTGCTCCTCCACCTGCTTCCCCCCCATCCCGCCCACCGGGCGCCCGTTCCCCCAAGCCTCTTGCCTCCCACTCTTCTCTCGCCTGGGAATCTCCCAGGTACGCTCTCTGGAAGCTTCAGCTGCCCAGATGGTCCTCATCTTCCCTCTCCAAGTGTCCACAGCCTCCCCCCGACCCCCATTTCCACCCCTGAGAGCAGCACCTGGCCTGGACCTCCTAACTCGGACCCAGAACCGCCCGCCTGTAACGCGGCACCGTCTCCTCCAGGCCCTGACTCCCAAGGGTGCTGTGCTGCGGGACCAGAGGAGCAACCAGCCCTCCTTGCTTCTCCAGCCCCTGGGTCAGTTTTACCAGCCTCGTGGAGGCGTCGGGAGTGTGAATCCCTTGGTCAGGCTGGTGCTCAGCCCTGCCGAGGCCACAGTGACCCACAGCTGCCCCCCGGGACGCTGCATTCCATCTTCCTGCGGGGCATGCTGTCAAGAGCTGAGCTGGTGCTGCCGAGGGAGAGAGCCAGGTGCATCCCCAGCCCAGTCCTACACATCCAGGGGCAGCTGTTCCAGAGGAAAGGAGTTTGCTCAGGTCATTTCGGAGAAGATGCATGTCAAGAAGGGAATGAGGCGGGGGAATGTGCGAGAAAGTGACCAGTGCGGCGGGAGGCTTCTCTGGGGAGGTGACACTTGGGTAGGACGTGAACAAAGAGGACTTTTCCCTGGGTGGGTTCACCCAGGGCACATTTTCCCGAGTGGTCCTCCCAGCTCCCGGACTTCACAGAAGGCAAACCAAGGTTCTGCGGCTCAAGCAGGCAGAGTTGGAATTCCCATCTTCTGTTACCACCGAATAAATCACGAGCCTGACCTGGGCCACCCCCACCCCTGCCCCACGGCTGGTCAGCCTGATGGCCACAGATGAATGAGTGGCCTCACCCTGCCTCCACGCCCAGCTGGTCCACGAATGTCTGCTGGTTCATTTGATGCATGTCTAGATACGTGGACCCGAGTCCTGAGAAGAGCAGACAAACCTCCCTGCCTTTGAAATCGGAGCCGGCTCCTCGGGCTCCAAGGCCCTCCTCAGTGCAGGCCCAGAGGAGGACCCCACGCCCTGGCGTTTTCACCTCCTGCCGGCTGGCCGGTATCTCGGAGAGGTCAGCCGGGCCCTGGGTGGGCTGGACTCCAGCACGCAGTGGAAGGTGTCCCAGTCGCTGTCCCCCACGGTCACTATGCTCATCCCGGTGTCCAGCAGTGGACAAGATAGTGTGTGTCCCGTGATGCTCAGTTGTAGGCCCGTGAGAAAATGCATCTTCAGAGTGTTGCACCTGCTGCTTCCACAGGGGCCTTGATGAGGCCTGCAAGGCCTCGGGAGAGTGTGGGTGGGAGGCAGTGTGGATGGTCAAAGGGGTCAGGGGCCTGACATGGCAGTCAGCTGCGTCTGGCTGGAGCTGGCAGGGTGTGTGCTGCGCTGGTGTGGGACTGAGATCCTTGGGCTTTCCCCTGAGGACGACAGGGAGCTGCTGAGAAGGGCCCCTCTAGTGGCCCAAAGGCTGGAGAGGTCCCATCCACCTTCAGAGGCCCCTGTCGGTCCATTCAGTCCAGAGTGGAGCCGTTCTCTCTGTGTCATTCCCACGATTTCCCAGCACCCTCCAGTGGCCTCGCTCAGTGCCTGGCACATGGTGGGTGCTTGACGATTACGGTTGGGAGAGAGAAACGACGCACAGGGTCCCAGAGAGAGTGACCCCTGAGGCGAATGAGTGGAGGTCGAGGGGAGTGGCTTCTCATCCCCTCTCATCGCCTGACTCACGGGGCAGACCCTCCCTGTCTGGGCCTCTGCTTTCCCTCCTGGAGAGCCAGGGGCGGGGCCGGACAGCCTATAGACCCTAGACCCCCACCGCGAGGAGGTGGTGCCGCTCAGTGGCGCTCAGCAGTTCCTGGCTCCCTTCTCTGCACCTTCCCTCTCAAACTCTCCAAGATGCCCTGATTCTTTCTCTCTCCAACAGCCAGGAGAGGCTTGGGATGGAAAGGAAGGGGAAGAGGCCGCGCCCTGGGGCCTTGCAGCTGGCTCCCCAAAGAGGAGCTGGGGCATCCCTCCCAGGTGGGCAATGCCACAGGCTGTGACTGCAGAGGCTGGGACCCAGGCTGGGCTGGGCTTCCACCAGCACCAGACCAAGCCTGGGGCCCCCGCAGGCCTTGAGAAACCCTATAGCTTTGGCTGGTCACCTCGGGGGTCTCTACTCTGTCGCAGGGCCAAGGCCCCCTCCGAGTCACTAACTCCATCAGAGTCCACTCGTGGTGTGGTTGGTGCAGGGGTGCCAGAGAGGGCCCTGTACCCTGCACCCTGCCAGATGTGGGGCAAGGCCAGGAAGAGGTACCCTCCAGGCCAGAGGCAGTGGGCCCAGCCCAGAACTGCAGGGCCTGGATATGCTCAACTGTACACTGGCTGAGGGGCCCCGAAGGCAGACCTGGTGGGAACAGGGCTCTCCAGTGAGCTCAGCAGATGTGGGAGTCCCGGAGGTCTGAGCTGAGCAAGGATCCCAGGGCATGGCTCCTGTGTCTCTGGCTCCTCGTGGGTGGGGGCCAGGGTCTGCAGACTGTCTGGTCCAACCCTTGGGTCTCCAGGAGGGAGAGTCGAGGCCCAGATGGGGAGAATCTGCCCGGGTGAGTTGGGGGATGAGAAGAAATTAGAAGCCAGTTGACTTGACCTCTACTCTTAGGCCTCGTGGGTCAGCATCTCTGGGACCCCGTGCATCCATTTATGCTTCCCACACGTAATCATTGAGGACCAACCATGGGCCAGGCACTGCTCTGGGTGCTAGGAAATCATGGGAACAACACCGGAATTCCTGCCCTTGTGGATTCATACTCTAGACAGAGAGACAGATGTAGACTAAGACAGGCAGCTGACACAGGACATTGGCAGAGACGATGCTCAGGGGGAAACAGGGCAGCCGAGGGGCCCAGGGAGTGACAGGAAGGAGGGTGTTGCAATAGGAGGGGGCTGTGTCTGCAGACTCTGAGGGGAAGATAGGTCAGCAAACTGGGCAGGAGCAGAGGCCTGTCAGCCAGCTGAGCAGAGCACAAGCAGAAGGGGAGGACAAGGTCAGGGGTCAGGGGTCAGAGAGAGCTACCCTGCCAGGTCACTCAAATGTCAATCCCTGGGAATACCCCAGTTTGTCTCTGAGGGGGGTGAGCTGGAGGACCCTGATCGGCATTGCTCTGGCACCATGCCGAGAGCCCAGGGGGAACAGGTGAAAGTAAGAGATGGGCTGGGAGGCTGGAACCACCATCCAGGTGGGAGGCCTGGACCGGAGCAGTGGCCGAGGGGGTGGTGAGAAGCACTCAGATGCAGGAGGCACCTTTGAGGCAGGGCCAGTAGGGTTTCTCAATGGATCAGACAAATGGTGTGTGATGGAGGGGTGAGTACTGACTCAGGGTCTGTCCAAAGTAGCTGGAAGGATGGCATGTTATTGGCCAAGACGGAAATGGGTGCAGGAGGAGGGGTCTGGGGAGGAAGACCAGGGCTCAGTTTTGGGTGTGCCACGTTGAGATGATGCCCACGGGACAGGCCCACGGGCACTGTTGAGTGGCAGCAGCTGTTCGAGTTGGGAGTTGAGGCAGAGATCAAGCTGAGATAGAAACTGGAGAGTCATCAACATTCAAAGGATTTAAATAATGAGGCTGGATACAATCAAGGGCTGAGTGTAGACAGAGCCTGGAAGAGGTTCCCCAGAGCCTTCCAACTTCAAGAGGTTAGACAATCGAGGGGGAACCAGCAGAGGAGACTGAGAAAGAGCAGGCGGAGTGAGCAGGAGAGACTGCAAGCCAAGGGAAGAGAGCTGTTCAAGGAGGGTGCAGCCCGCCGGGTCAGACGCCCCGCCGATGGACCGGGTGGAAGGTGGGGCTCTGCACCCACCACTGGCTTTAACAACTTGAACTTGAGGAGAGCAGTTTCAGGGAAGTGGTAGGCCTGAAGTCTGGGAGAGAATGGCTCTTATAAAGACCCAGTAATCAAGACTGTGTGGGATCGGTGCAAAGGAGGCCGATAGACAGAACAGAGGGGAGCCCCCCACACGGAGGGCAGGAGGGAATGGTGGTCTTCTCAGTGACGGGAACTGGAGGGGAGGCCCCGGATCCCTCCCTCACGCCATACACAGCTGTCAAGTCCCAGGTGGATTCGAGAGAGGAATGTCAACGGTAAATCCTTTAGGGGAAAGAAAAGAAAGGAGACCATCTTTATGATCTAGGAAGCAACGAAGATTTGTTATTTAAACAGGAAACACATGCAAAAACCCTCATCTTGTGAAAAAGACAGAAAGACACTGTTAAGAGAGTGAGAAGACAAGCCCCAGACTGGAAAACACATATCTGAGAAGGGATCCGATACACTATTATTATATCGAAATATGTGAAGACTTCAGTCTTTACGACTCAACCACAAGAAAATGAACAACCCAGTTAAAAAGTGGGCAAAGATCTGAACAGACACCTCACCAAAGAAGAAATACAGAGGGCAAAAAAGCACAGGAAAAGACGCTCATGTCATCAGGGAATTGCAAATTAAAACAACAATGAGACACCACTACACACCTATTAGAATGGCTAAGATCCAAAACACGGGCAACACCAAATGCTGACGAGGATGTGGAGGTAGAGGAATGCTCAT